ATCATTAGCTTGATGGCATCTTAGCGTAGCTGTTGGGCATCTGGAGGTGGTGGTATGGCGGTGATGACGCGTCTTTAGATGCAAAGAGCTTTAGCCGGAGCCCTGGCATGCTGTTGTAGCCAACAGCAGTGCCGGCAACGGGCCTGAGTGCTGGCAGAAAGTTGCTTATTGAAAGCATCTTCAAAGTGAAAAGGATAGGCACTTATCTCCTAACCGTCCCGTCGGGAGCAGCGCGGTTTCTGGTGGGAAGCGGGCCAGAGTTGCGTCTGCTGGTTTCGAGCAGCTGCAGATTTATTTATAATGCCATGGGTAGCATGTGAATCTGCAGATAAACACGCGGGAGAGAAGAACACAAACAACAATATTGAGAAAATGCTGCTCCGGAGAGAGCATTTCACTGAGCTGCAGCTATCACCAGCCACCAGAGATGGGCCAGGGGCCAGATACACACCCATGCCACTCTCATGCAGCTTTGCTCCATGTTGTCACCATCATTTCTGGGGGGTTCTCTGTCCTGGATGCCTTTATGGCAGTCTTTATGGGACTTAAGGGAGTCTTTATGGGGCTGCTGAGGCACCAGCCCCTCACCCTGTTATTTGGCGCTGCCAAACTGGCAGGATGGCACCGTGAAATTGTTGGCTGTGACAGCGAGTGAAGCTGCTGAGTTTGCTGATTGAAGCAGGCATCTTCTCCTCTCCATGTGGCAGGGTGCTAACAGTTGGGCTTGGGACTGCACATCCAGAAATTGGTCTGTCTTTGTTGTCCCCAGCGCAGGAGTTGGTCCTATTGGGTGCCCGGAGCAGGGTATGGGCATGGGGCATCCCGCAGGTAGGATCGGGACACTGCTGGGTGAGATGTGGCCATGGCAGCCCACCACGATCACCTCGGGTGCACAAGTTGCAAGGGGCTGAGCACACTGAGGGCCGCCCTGTTCGGACTGCTGCGAGTGAAGGAGCTGCCTCTGGAGGATGATGGGTTCCCATTCCTTGGGGCTTATCACGCCTTGTGTGGGGCTTGAACTTGTAGCAGACCTCTGTACGACTGATGTCTTGGTGCCTGGCGTCACTCATCCAGTCAGAGATGTCCATGAGTATCTCCTCAGTTGCAATACCTTGATGGCCAGAAGGAACCAAGGTGACCTGCCCAATATGTGCTCCTGCAACACATGCTTCTCCAGCTCCTGGCTCACCTGGGATGGGGAAGGATGCAAACAGTGCAGGATCTGGTCCTCTTGGCAATTGCTCTTCAGGGGCAGTTACCTTCCCTGGTAAAACTGAATCTTGTTTTCCATGTGTCTTTGTGGGGTGCCACTCCCAGGCAAAGCTGTAGCTGCAATTTCCTTCATGGGCTGAGGAGCTCTGTTTGCTGCTACTTTCAGTGTGCATCCTTGCAGATCACAGTCAATCATCTTGCAAACTCCTCTTTGATGAGCTGCTGCAGTCCCCCTGCAGCAATAAAACCCCATCCAGCTGAAGGAGGAATAGATTCCAGAGGAATCTCTGCCTTTCCCTTGTGTGGCTGAGGTGGGTGGTAAGGCCTTGTCTTGCTTTTTTAAACCTTACTGGTTTATTGATTGCTAGTTTGGACTCTGTGCCAGCACTTTCAGGATGAGACGTCAGAGCAGGGCTTGGCTGCATCTTCATGGGGTCTTCCTCCCACTATGGTCTGCCCACGACTGCCTCTTGCTGTGGAGATCTGAGCAGGTCTGAGCCTGGGAAGGAGGCAGAGAGAAGCCCCCTGCAGATGACTTCACTCCTGATTTTGTTTACTGGAGAAATGAATTAACACACTTTTGTCTGGAAATAAGAAACTTTTCAGGGATGAGACAATGATCTTCCCTGGAGGACCACATGGCCTCCTTGGCCTCAGGTGGAGGGTGAGGGGTGCTCCTGGCCAGGTATATGGGCAAGATAACTCTGTGGCAGGCAGTTATTTGGGCAATGAGGTGTTTTGAAGTCAGCCATCGATGGAGGATGGACCAAACCCACCACCACTGTTGAAACCCATCCTGGCTTCACACCCGCTTTTGCAGTCAGTGCGGCTAACCAGGTTCACTGTGATGCATGGGGACCAGTTATTCACCGTTTTCTGTAATTCAGGCAGCTAGTGTTAAGGGCTAACATGCCAACCCATCTCCAAACGGCCTTTAGCCAGGGCAGCAATTTGGTAGAAAAGCTTTGCAAGAAGAGGTGCATTGGGATGTTACAGCTGTGTGCAATGGGGACCACAGTCTTGGGGTCCACCCTACACAAAGAAGTTGATAAACAGGAGCCTCAAAGAAAGGAACCTGTTTTAGGGTGGAAGAATAAGGAAGCTCAGCTAGTTCCGTTATCTTGGAGATAGTTCATTTGCCACCGTTAAGCACCACAAAAAGGAAAGGAAGTTTTGGATAGCAGAGTCTGTACAAGTGAAAGGAAATCTAACAGTTGGCAGCCAAATGGTGTAAATTCAGACTAAAATTAACGGAGGATCTTTTTTTATGAGAAGATAATTGACCATTGGAAAAACCTGCTTAAAATGTGCGAATTTCTGCTTCTCCTTGTCTTGGGTCAAAACGAGATGTCCTTGGGCCAACTGGGGTAGATGTGTGCGAGGGCTGTCGGCAGCGTGCTGTGCAATAATGTACTGGACACATTTCCATTGCACCAAGTTTTCGTTAAGTAAAAGGCTTTTAAAAATGCAAAATGCTTCAAAATCCTCTTTTTATTTGGGGAATTGCTTGCACTAGTTTAGAGTATATCTTCTTGGGGGCGCGGACTAGATGATCTCCAGAGGTCCCTTCCAACCCCGACCATTCTGTGATTCTTTTACATTATAGTCACTGCTATTAATATATTTACTATGTACCACTGTCATTGATAGTTAAGATAAAGTAACAAATTTAAGGGTTTTTTCAAAGTAATGCAGCTTCTAGCTAGCACTGGGTGAAAAATGTTGTTTTCCTTTCAGATCAAAGTGCCACTGGTGTTTAAATGAAAAAGCCAGATACTCTGATTAAATAAACACTGTTATGGAACTATGTAAACAAATACTCAGTTTAAAAAGAAATTTCATGAATCCGAATGACAACATTTCTGGACTAGCTGTTTTCCAGAACTCTTCCTACTGGGAAAATTTGAAAAGAACTATTTTTGCTTTTTACTCTTGGAATAAAACCAAATTTTGAAATCCTGTTTTCCTGTGAACTGGAAACCACTGGCTTTAACCAGGAGTAATGAACAACCCACAGTCTGAAAATGATTTACTACCAGAAGTAGGTGCAAGGAGCATATCTGTGCCGAGGCACTTTTTGGCTTGCCAGTGGGAAAAGGGGAGTTCACATGTGCTGTTGGGCAGGCTGAACAGCAGTCATTTCTGCATCCAGGCTTGTCTCTTAAATGATGGGTCTGCTCAAGGCTGAGCTTTTCTTCCTTTGCTTTTGTTCAGTGTAGTGAAAGTGGAGAAGGTGGGGACGGTTTTGGGGGATTTGCGGCAGGATGCTTGTTTTTTTGGTGGTGAGGGGCAGCAACTGGACACAGTTATAGGCAGTAACTCTCCATCCCTGTTGTGTCCATGGGAACTGGCACCATTTGTTGGCTTATAGGGTGGTGGCTGGAGATCTTGACTATGTTGGGGTTCTCCTGTTTGATTGCTCTCAGTGAGCTGACGTGGAGTGGGTGTACATGTTGTGCATAAGATGCTTTTTCTTGAGAACTGCAGAGCCTTAAAGCTGGACTGTTTCCCTGCTTGTTTTGCGTTAACTGGGAGGGCAGGGAAGATGAAGCTGCAAGCCGAATTTCATGTTTGTGTCTTGTGTGTGTGTGTGGTGGATGCTTTCCGGCATCCCTGCAAATGCAGTTAGCATCCTGAGTGCATGTGCTGAAATCAGGGGCAGATTCACATTCTCCCTACAGAGCAGAGGGATATAATTTCTTCTGTGGGCATCACCATGGTCTCAGCTACAGAATCACTGTCTGTATGCTGGCCTGTACAGTCTGTCCCACAAACATCACACTTTTCCCATGCCCAGCCTTGGTATGGTGAAACCTTTAGGTGTGATTTCTGAACCTCATTTCCTAAACACTGGAATATTGTCCTATTTTCTTAAAACGTTAGCACTGGGCATGGTGTGGAAAAATCCCTGTGTTGCAACAAGGGTGCGACTGCAGCCTGGAGGATGGACAGTTACCCTGGTTGTGGAAGTGTCTGTCCAATGTATTTCTGATGGGGATGTCTGGCCAGTTCCCATGATAGACGAGGAACGCCTACACACATTAGCCCAAGTATTGGGGTGCCATAACCTGAGCATCCCTTCTCATGCCATCAGTGTAGTTAGGCCAAACCATAGCTAATTGGGATTGAAAAAACTTCAGTGCTGGAAGCGTGGCGAGCTGTAGGAAGCACAAGGAGGCTTTGCTGCCCACGTGGCTTAGGGAGACTTCTCTGTGCTGGTTGGCAGTAGCGTCACCTGACCTATTTCAACCCAAGTCGCCTGGAAAACTAGCTTTAACAGTGGTTTCATTTTTTAGTACTTTTAAGTCCTAAAAGTGCTGTTCCTTCCTGTGTGCTACTGCATCACCAAGGATTCTGCCTGCAATGCAAAACGCTGAGAAAAAAATATTCCGGCTTTGCAAAGGAAACTGGAAGGTGATGGAGAAAACCTGGTCAGGCTGGGCTCCTCGTCTGCTGCAGCAGAGCTGCTCTGGAGCTGTGGTACACTGATTCTGAATTTTGAGGAGGAAAATCCAGCTGGGCTGGTGAATGGAAGAGCACATGCCCCCATGCATTGCAGGAGACAAGGGAGCCAGGGAGCAGTGGGCAATGGATGGGGAAGCAGATGGGCAGAGGGACCGATACCTGGCTCTTCCCTGGCTGAGAGCTGGCCAGAGGGCTCAGTGGAGGCTGGGCTTAATGGCTGCAGTCCTGGGCTGGCTCCTTTCTGCCTCTTTCCCCTTCGCTAGCCACAGATCATTCACTAGACAGCCACTGACTCCTTGTTTCACCTTCTTCCTGCAGAGACACTGATGGACTCCACAACAGCAACGGCAGAGCTGGGCTGGACAGTGCATCCTCCATCGGGGGTAAGTTATCCTGTTGCTTTATGGGGGTCCAGAGCCTCGTCTGGGGTCTCCTGCTGCATGTGAATGTAGGTGAGTTCACTCAGCAAAAGTCAGCCACTGAAGCAAAGTGCCTTGGCCACGTGAAAAGGTCTAGTGGTAGCAGCACAAAAGAGGATGACAATTGAGGTTTCCAGTAGTTTTCTAGGAGGTGACGCTTCCAAGAAATACTCCAGTGCTGGAGGACTGTAATTCCCATCCTACAGTATCAAGCCAACATGGTGTTGGAGGAATCATATTCTCTGTAAAGCTAGCCTGCAGCCACTTAAAAATCAAGGATGGGGAGCAACGTAATGTTAAGGCTGCCATCAGGAGATTGGACAGGGCAGTGTATCTCTGCACCCTTCTGCTCACGACACAAAACGGGAGCGGCCCTAGCCACCTCCATGTCCCATGGGGTTTACATCGGGCATTGGGGTGCTTCAGAGCCTCCTGCCCAACTCTGGCTGTGATGGCCAGCAGCAGCATGGAGCCCCAGTGCCTGACACCCCCAGACCTGGTGCCTCGCGCTTGGGCGGCCCAGTCCAGCCCGGCCAAAGCCTGGAGATGCTTCGTATCCCCATGGGCAAAGGTAGTGGCTCAGGCTCCATCCTCCTCTCCATCCACCCTCTGCAGGGGCTGGATGAAGAGATTTCTGTGGACCACACCTCGAGGCTGTCAGCAAGCCCCCTACCCGATCCGACTTGGCAGAAGAAAAGAAATGGCCAAGAAAAGCCTCTGCTGGGGAGATTAAACCTGGCTCCCGAGCAGCCCAGCTGCCCTGCCGCGCTGGGGCATGGGCATTGCCAGCACAGGTCCCCCATCACCATGATAAAGCCAACGCGGCCGCCCCGCCAGTGCCGGCCTGGCTGCCGAAAGGGGATGACGGGCGCACAATGGTTGGGAGCAGAGGTCAAGTCTTTTTCTCTCCTCGCCCAGCCTTTCTTGTTTGCGGTGTTTCCATATGTAAAGCACGCCTTGCTCCCAGCTCCCCAGCCCTGCAGTAATGAGGCCTGGGCCTGCTGGAAGCCGTCTCCCTGTATTATTGTGCTGCCTTCTTCTTTTGAGCTCCCGGCATGTTAATTAGAGAGTGAGGAGAAAGGGAGAGGCTTCTAATTAAGCATCGAGGAAGCACAGGAGCTGGTGCATGGGGGTGACTTTCTCTCCCAACTGAGAAAAGGGAGCTTGGGAGTCCGCTGCTCGCTGCTGCAGGGATGTGGGAGGATACTGGGGTCCTGAACCTGGCCCCCGGAATGCTGCCAGGTCCCCCATCCCTGTCAGGATGGAGATGCCCATCTGGAAAGTCCAGCGCAGCCCTGGTGTTGCTGGTGGGATGCCTTCCATCCCCACCTCCAGGCACGTCCCTTGCTGGGGACGTGGCATGCATTGTGCCCTGCACTGTGCCCATCACAGGTGCTGATGCTGTGGTGCCTTCCCAGTGTAGCCTCGTGCCCACTGGCAGGACAAAGCAGGGCATCTTACCCATGGGTGACTGGCAAGGTTGACTGCAGCCAGCATCACCTGGAAGACAAAAGCTACTGGGTGCTCCCCCTGTTTATTGCCTCTTTGGTGATTATTAGAGATCCAAAAGCCCGAACAGTTGCCTTTTCCCTGGCTGTGGAGCTCCCATGCCACTCGTAGGTGTCCCTATGCCCTGCTTCCGCCGTCTACTGTTCACCCCAAAGCTGTAGAGATTCTCCTTCCACCACGTGCTGCTCTTGCCTGGCCAGGGCTGAGCTCTTCAGGCTCATGTCCTGAGACCTCCCTGCAGGCCGTGCAGGTGTGGGTAGGGATGGGGCAGTACTGGGCATCCCTGCATCTTGGTGGCTGGCACACTGTTTCGGAGTGGGTGTCAGGAGTGGTCCAGGCGAGGGAGAGCCACGTCAGAGGCAAGTCGGGGGAAGGAATTGCTTCCCTGTGCCTTGTCCTTGATTTCTTCACCCCCCCTCCCAGCTGGTGCCCTAAAAAACGGGGAGATCCTGCAATTTTCCACTACCACACCGAATTTATTTCTGGAAAATAAAGCAAATGCTCCCTCTGCATTTTGTGAGGATGCTGTCCTCCTCCCCCAATGATGGCAGCAGATTTGCAGCCACTGCCAATCAGAAGTGGTTGGAGCTGTTTGGGGATCTTCCCTGACAGCCTTCTGTTGGGTTGTTAGCCTTGTTATGCGAGGAGCAATCTGTCTCCCATCTCGGCAGCCTCCCTCTGCAGTCCTGGATGCCCTTGTGAGGCTGTTTGCAGGCCAAGGGGCTGGGGGTGCTCTGCTCCTGCAGGGTTTTCCCTGCGGCCCTTGGTCCTGGCACTGGCACTGGATCCGGGCTGTGCTGCCGCCCTGCCCTGGGTGTTGCGATCCCGCATCCAGGGCAGGGTTGTGCTCAGGGTTTCGCGTCTGTGGGAAACAACTCGGCTTTGACTTGAGCAGGTTTATGAACAAGTTCATGAGAAGCCTTTCCAGCTGGCTGCAAGTGTGTCACATGCTTGTGGGTCCCTGGTCCCTACCACCAGCATCATGAGGGTGCTGTGGGTTGGGAGGGGACAGCACAGGGAGATGCTCTGCACTCTGGCAAGGTCTGGGCTGGGGGAGATTCTCTGGTGACCCAAGTGAAAGGTTCTTCTCCCACAAAGACCCCTTCCCGTCAGTGCTGACTGCAGAGGAGTGGTGGCTGGCTACAGGCTGCAGCTCTGCCCTTCCCTGGTGCATCACCTGCTCTGAAGTCTTCCCATCCTACAAAGGATGGAGACAACAAGTGCTGATGGACTTGGAAAAAAACAGCCTGGGGAAAGGGCAGGGAGCTGAACAGGGCCAGGAGATGTCACACCAGCTCTGCGCTCTGCGGGGACTCCTCCAGAGTTGGCAGTCAGCTGCTGGCAGCTGGGCTGGTCTTCCCATGGGGAAGTATGTCAGGTCCGAGCTGTCTTGCTGAGAAGGATATTACTGTTGTGCTATGGCTCATAGGACATCCCATAGTTCCAGTTTAGGACAGCTGGGGCTGGGTCCTGTGCACACCTGCAGGAAGGCCCCCAAAGCATGCTGGCCCTTGAAGGGGCAGGGATGAGGGCTACCAGAAGGATCTAGCCAAGCATCTCCCATTCTGGTTACGCAGTGGGCTCAGGCAGGCTCCCGTAAACCTTCCCTTCTGCCTCTGGGGAGCGGCCACTGGCTGCTGGCCCATCGCACAGCCGGCTGCCCTCACCAGTGCTTGGGCTACAGCCGGCGAGGAGGTTTTATGGCTGCGTTACGCTCTCCTAAGAAAGCGGGTCCTGTCTGCCACGTCTGTAACTGTAGGGCACCAGTGGGAATACATCTGCTAAAAGCATCGTGTTACTTTGCTGGGAGGCTCTGCTGCACAGTGCAGCCCACAGGCAGGAGCCCCTGCTAAAGACATTACTGCCTGCAGAGGAGGTGCATGGCCCCACCGTGCCCTGCCACCTGGCAGAAATGCTTCAGGGACGTAAGTTCGGGCATGGAGCATGGTGCTGCTGGCAGTGAGACAGTCCCGAGCTCTGCTGGGGGCTTGGGCCACCTTGTCCCCACAGCACGGAGCCTGTGTGCCATGCAGTGTGGGTCAAACCCTGCCAGAGCAGGATGGAGGCATGTAGGTACAGGGTGCTTGCAGGGTGGTGCTGGAGCTGTGCTGGGGTGAGGTGCTGTGCAGTGATGGGGCTGCCTGTGTGATGGCGTGGGCACGGTGTGGGGCAGCTGGTAGTGGCAGAGCCAGCCTGCTTGACACACAGTGGGTTTGGAAGGAGGCAACGTGGGAGGGGAACATCAGTTTGGTGCAGCCTCTTGACTTTCTGTGTCCTGTCTGCAGTGGGAAGAGGTGAGCGGGTACGACGAGAACATGAACACAATTCGCACCTACCAGGTGTGCAACGTCTTTGAATCCAGCCAAAACAACTGGCTCCGGACCAAGTACATCCGGAGGCGAGGAGCGCACCGTATCCACGTGGAGATGAAATTTTCTGTCCGGGACTGCAGCAGCATCCCTAATGTCCCAGGCTCCTGTAAGGAGACTTTTAACCTCTACTATTTCGAGTCGGACTTTGACTCGGCCACCAAGACTTTTCCTAATTGGATGGAGAATCCTTGGATGAAGGTCGACACGATTGCTGCTGATGAGAGCTTCTCACAGGTGGACCTAGGTGGACGGGTGATGAAGATTAACACCGAGGTGCGCAGTTTTGGGCCTGTCTCCAAGAATGGTTTCTACCTGGCCTTCCAGGACTACGGAGGCTGCATGTCCTTAATTGCCGTCCGTGTCTTCTACCGCAAGTGTCCCCGTGTGATCCAGAACGGGGCTGTCTTCCAAGAAACCCTCTCAGGAGCGGAGAGCACCTCACTGGTGGCAGCCCGGGGGACGTGCATCACCAATGCAGAGGAGGTGGATGTGCCAATCAAGCTGTACTGCAACGGGGATGGCGAGTGGCTGGTGCCCATTGGCCGCTGCATGTGCCGGGCGGGCTACGAGTCGGTGGAAAATGGGACCGTCTGCAGAGGTAACTGCTTGCCTTTGGTCTCGCTCCACGTGCTCGCCCTGCTGCCGGTGGGCTGTGCTGGTGGGCTGTGGTGGCAGTCAGGCTTTGCAGCTGGGGTCTGCACTAGCCACCTGGGAGTGACCTCCTTGGGCAGGAGTGGGAGAGGAGCACATGGGATGTGGGATAGGAGCACGTATGTGGACGCTGACTCCTTCCCCAACTCCTCAATTCCTGCCCCAGGCTCATCCATCCATTGCAGAGGCTCTGCATTTCCTCTGGGTCCTCAGAGCCACCGAGTCCAGGGGTGCAGGCCTGTTGCTGGTGCCCTCCAGGTCTTGGAGGGACACGTGTGTGTAGCCGTGGTGCGTGTCACCGATCTGCAGTCACCTCCCAAAATACTGGGGCTGTTTTCACTGTGGTTTGTACCCTGTGCCTTGGTGTGGGCTGAAATGCTTCTGGGGTGAGGGGAGTGGGAGTGCAGGCACCCAGAACTGATGTGGTGGGAGGGAGCAAGTTGTCTGTAGCATTTTCCTGATGAGGTGCAAATGGCCCAGGATGGGACATGGTCATGGGCTGTTCAGCACCAGGCTCACCTCTCCAACCTGGGCACCTCTGAACCTGGTCCTTGAGTTCCCTCAGCAACCAGAAGTCTCCTGCCCCTGTAGATGTTCAAAGCAGACTCCAGGGATGCCTGCTCAGCTCAGCTGAGCACCATGGAGCCCACGTGGTCCTGGGCGAGCGAGAGGCTGCACCACCCTCCCTGAAAGCACCATGCTTAAACCCTTCTCTGTGCCTCTCCCTGGTCACGTGTGGGTTTGGGGATGTTGAGGAAGGAGCTGCTGGGGTTACCAGGAGAGAGCTGCATGTTTAATGGGCACCTGCAGCTGTACCATGCACAGAGCAAACCACGGTGTTTGGCAAACGGATTCTTCCCACCCCGTCCCGGCTGAATGTCAAAATCCCATTGTAGTTTCAATAGCATTGGCACACTCCGAGCAGATCTGGGGGCTCTCTGAGATCAGTTATAGATGCGTCGGTGGTCATTGCAGAGCGCAGAGAAGGAGTGGCGTCTCCTCTCTTCTTGCTGTGGGAAGGGGTGGCTGGGTAGCACCAAGCAAGCATGGGGAAGGTGCTGGTAGTGGGGAGATGGACACAGCGGAGAGGGGGACGGACAGTCTCTGGCCATGCTCGGTTGGGACTGCAGGTTGGATGGTCCCCTTGGAGAGGGCACCATGTCTCCTGCTGGTGGCTGGGCTGCTCGTGTGTCAAGGTACAAGTCCTAATATGCTGCATGTGTCATTTAATATCCGTGTTTTGAGCTGCTCTTCAGTGGGCCACTGAATGTCTCTTCCCACCGAGCTCAAGGCGATCCAGTGTCCCGCAGCTGTAGCAGGGATGGGGATGGGGATGGGGACAGCAAGAAGTACTGCTGCAACACGGTGTGAAGAGGGAGCCTGGCTAATCCCAGCCTTGAAGGGAAGACAGGTGTTTTACGGTGCCCAAGTGAAGCAACACCAGAAAGCCAAAATGATTCATGTCAGCTTTTCCATTTCAGCCTTTTTTTTAAGCCTGAGTGGACCCAGCCCTGCACAATGTTTTGCTCTGATGCAGCTGTGGTTTCTTGGGGCTCCCCTGTCCCACTGCCAGCCCAGCCAAGGGACAGTCCCTCCGCATGCCCTGGGGCTCCCAGGGCTCCTTATGCAGATTCCTGTCCCTGCAGCCTGGCCAGGAGGGGAGGCAGAGTGGGCATGAGCGGGGGCCCAAGGTGGAGGGAGCGAGCAGGAGGGAGAGGCTGGGTCTTCTCTTTGTCTGCGCAGCAGCAGGATTTTGGGAGGTCCAGTACCTCAGCAGCTGTTTCTCCAGCCAGCGCTGGCGTATGCCCGGCCCCACGCTCCCCGACGTCATTAATCATGCGGTGGCCGGCAGCCTGCCGTCTCCATGGGGCAGCTGGCTCCGGGGCTGCCTTCCCCTTCCCACGTGGGGCTGTGCGACTGGGGCTCGATGGGACCCCAGGGTTGTGCCAGACTGGAACACACCTTCCGTTTTCCCCCAGCAACCCCCAGAAGAGTGGGGACTGGGAGGAGAGCCAGCCATGGAGTTGGCAGGACAGCCGTAGCATCCTCATCCTCTCCCAGCCCACCAGTGAGCCCCACAGGGGCCGGGGGAAGGGGCTGGTCGCCCCAGCTCGGTCGGGCAGAGAAAGGGCTCTCCTCCCCAGCTCAACTCGCGAAGGACCTGCGGGATGCAGCCCTGCACCCTGCCCACCTCCCATTGTGTCCCTGTGCCTGGTCCCAGCAGAGGCAGCGTAGGAGCCGCCTGGTTTGGGGGACTCACTCGTACATGTGGCTGGCAGGTTTTCTTGTGTTTCGAGGGGTGGGAGGGAATCTAGGCCTCTTTCCAGAAGCAAAACAAAAGCAAATCCGAGCTGGCTTTCGGGGCAAAGTGCTTTCACACGTCTCGATCACCCAAAGGGGACGTGGTGGGGAGCGTGGGGGACGTGGCTTGCTGGTCCTGCCCCACCAAGGGGTCCCGGTGGAAAAAGGGCATCCCAAACAATGGACGGCCCCTCAGTGCAGCTGCGAGGCGCTGGAAGGAGTTGCTCATTTTCTCCGCTGGGCTTTTCATCTGGCTAATACAGCACAAGCCTGCTCACGGCAGTGTACACAAGGGATATTTATGGAGGAAGTCCATGCATCTAACAGCTTAAGCTCTTCTAAGCTTGCAGCCCCAGCACAAAAGGATTTGGGGGCAGTTAACAATTCTGTGTGGTTAAGAGATTTTCATTTTGCTGGGCCTTGCTCGCAAATCCCGCAGGGCCCTGTGAGGGGCTGGCTGCCCGCTCCTCTTCGCTCTGCGCCTCTGCTCGCTTCCCGGCTCTTTTCCGCTGTGCTGGCGAGAGGCTCCATGCGTGCACCTCCCTGCACCGCCTCCCCCCCAGCCCCATACGCCCAGCCCCGTCCTCCCCGCTTCACCTTCTCCTGCTCCCTGCCTGCGTCTTTTTTTCTCCATCTCCCTGTTCTTTGTCTGCCGCCTCCCCCCTTCTCCCCCGCCTGTCCCTCCCATGCAGCAGATTAAGCGCATTTCTCCCTCTGCCTCCTTTATTCATTGGCTCCCCTCTACAACAGCAGAGGCAGAGCTATTGTGCTTCCTGCTCTCCCTGTTTGGACTGGACGGTGGATGAACGCCGTCTGCGAGGGTCTGTGCCTGCTCAGGGATGGCAGCCGCTGGCTGCTGGTCCTGCCTATTGAACCCTGCGTCCATCTCCAGCCCCTCTCCATCTTCGGAGGACATCTACCCATGTGTCTGATCAGTGCATTTGCAGTGGGCAGCCTCTGCTTTGTTGCACTCGTACAGTGCCAAACGTGGGGAGTCCTGGTCTTGCCATGGTAACAAGGGATGGTTTTGCCCTGCAGAAGCTGGTAGTGACACTGTCTTGCTGTCAGAGACATGTGGCGTCATCCGTTGGGGTCATGGGTGTTTCTGAGGAGGAGAGGAGCTGGTGACATGCTGGGAAGAGGAGAAACCTGGTCACCTACATGGTCTGTAGAAGATCCAGGCTGCCACCTGTCTTCTCCAGCTCAAGGTGGAGCTGGGCTACCCCTGTGGTGAGCCTGAGGGCTCAACAGTTTGTCCCCTTTGGAGCCTGCACTGCCTTTCTCCTGCTTCTTCCCTGGGGGGCAGAGCCGGGAGGGAGGATGTGGGGGTCCTGATCCAGCTCCAGCACCTAGCGTGGTGACAGTCCTGTCCAGCCCCACCAAGACCACAGCCTGGTTCCACCAGCGACCCAGCTGGATACTCCAGCACTGACTCAGCCTAAGTCCAGCTCTAAAGGGAGGAGCATGACCTCCGGGGCTATTGCTGTAGTGAGCTGGTGTCTGGGGTATCCCAGTCTGGGGCTATATAGGGCTGGCTGGTAGGTTTTGTTAGGGCTGTGCCCTTGCAGATGTGTGTCCTACAGGTGGGGCTCCATGATGGGCTTCCCCTGCCTGTGCTTTCGTGTTATTTTGAGATCTAACACAGCACATCTGCCACCACCTCACCATGTGCTGGGCTTGCGGTTGTAGAAGCAGTGATATGCATGTATATGTGTGTTGAGGACCTAGAACTTTTTCCCCATCACAGAGATGTGGGAAGCAGTGGGGGTCTATCCCAGCTGTGCTGTGCTTGGGTTTCGGAGCTGGGCAAGTATGTGCTAAGGGCTTAGAGGGGCATGCAGCTTTCTGATGTGCCGGAGAAGTGTGTGTCCTAGCTGTCTTACATTTATGTCCCATAAGTACATGATGTTTTGAAGATAAGAGGCTATTTACAGCTACATGCCTGTTTCGGGTCTGGGCCTCCACTGACAGTGCTGGACCCAGCCAATAAATTGTAAGGTCCTCGGGGTAATTAAGTTCTTACAGGAAGCATTCCTGGTTGAGCTGGAGCAGATACAGCCACTCATGATGTAAATGTTTCCAGTGATGGAGAATTGCTCGTTAAACTCTTCCAGTGGTTGCTCCTGCCTTCTTACCCACGGCTGCGCCTGGAACTCGGACTGCAGTGAACTTTGTCCATCACCACACCTCTGCTTTCTGTGTGCCTGTTTAAGAGTAATCCTTGGCCCCTGGCTCTCTGGTAAGGTTTTCAGCCAGTTTTTTTGGCTCTTCCTGGCCCTTAGCACTGCTTTAGCCTTTCTGTTGGCAGATCCATCCTCCCACGTACAGGATGCTCATAGTGATCAGCTGAGTGCCAGAGGGGATGCTGAGATTTCCCTTTTCCTGCATCCCCCCTTTGCTTTAACCATTTTGGCAATGGCATTTCTCTGGGTGCTTTTGAAGGATCCTTGTCCGTCCCAGTGGGACTGGGAGCAGATAACCACTGTGGCCCGCATGCTTGCCCTTGGAGGTGTGATTTGACGTGTGTTTGTACTGAAATGCATATTCCTTGCTTGTGCCCAGCTCACTGAGACATCTGGATTGCTGTGTATCAGGAACCCATCATCTTCAGTATTTACCACACTACAACTTCCATGTCATCAGCTA